GATTTTTCATGATTTGAATATCACGGTTATCGTCAATACCGGTATATCGTCACACCCTTAGTGTCATTATTCAGCTCCAGTCAGTTCAGTGTTGATTCAGTTCAATAACTGTGGAAAGATCGCTTAATATGAAACAAATTCATTTCAGCTATAAGCAGCTCTACAGGAGACAATGTCATCATCCAGCTCAGTTCAAGCTGTGTTTGTTCTCATCTGATAATGTCATTTGATAATCATGTGTGTGTGGTTTTATTAACAGGCACAGTCAAGGTGTGGGACTCCAGGCAGAAAGACACGCCTGTGGTGAACATGGAGCCCGTGGAGGGAGAAACCAAGAGAGACTGCTGGACCGTTGCTTTTGGTGGGTGTTTGTGTGACTCATATTGTAGGGTTCCTATTAAAATTTAGGATTAAAAGTTAATTTTGATGTTTTACTCTCATTCTGAGTTCTCATGCTCATGCAAAACCTGAAAATATCAATGGAGCATTTCACACTGCGCTTAACCCCGGCTTCTTACCTTTACAGTCTGAAAAACACAGCAAATATGCAAATAAGAACGTTAACCAGGTGTTTAGGAATGTACAGGATGTATTGTTAACCCCGGGTAAATTGTGAGCGGTGCGAAACATGAAGCAAGATAACCCTGGATTAAGTTTACTCGAGGTTTAGAGTGACCCAGGGTTAACTACTTCAAGTATGAAAAGCCCTACTGTATTGTAAAATGGTCATTTCCAGGCCTGGAAACAGCATGGAAAATAATACAATTCCAAAACATCGGCATTTAATGCCCTTTGTCGATACATACCTCTGTAAATATGATTTGAAAAAATCAGTCACAGACCACTGGGAAGTCAGAAGGAGCAGAACCCGGCTCATAAACTCACACTGGAATGTGTTCAGAAGTTTAAGGCCCTTATTTACTTCAAGGGAAATCGAAGAATGTCATTTCAAACAAGATCTGTCTGTCTGTGGTTAAAGTTAGAAACACAAGCACAGAAAAAGCTAATTGCAGCGTGCCGTGTTTCATCTCCAGGTCACGCTTTCAATGACCAGGACCGCTGTGTGTGTGCTGGATACGACAACGGTGACATCAAGTTATTTGATCTCAGAAATATGGCTTTACGATGGGAGACAAACATCAAAAACGGGGTAAGATATATTTAACTTGGATGTGCTTTGATTAGCGATATAACGATTCACTCAATTCACGATGCGATATGATTGACGATTCTGATTTCACAATGCAATTTTCTAACTATTTTTTTTAACAAAATGAGTTTTAAGACATTTTAACACATTAGTTGAGCTCTCAGAAATCTGGCCAGTAGTGTTATTTTATGAAGAGCATTATAGTTAACGTTTATCGTTAGATAATAGACAGTTATACTATAATTTAATTTAGATAACGTGAGAAACACCTTAATAGCGACCATAACCAGATGCTAGCTGTCATATTTTTAAGGTTTTTAGTCTTTCTGCAATCTTTCTCTAACTGTAGGAGGTTGAATGAGTTTTAATGAAGACTGCCCATTCAAAGAATACAATAAAGAGTTTCGCTGAATGAAATTGGTTTTTAAACTTTTTTTTATTGCGTTAAATTCTGTATTTGCTTGCCTTTTTTTAATATTCTCTTATGTTGTATGCTAATGTAAATATCATAAAATAACACTGGTATGTAATTAACCTTTTTTAAATGTAACATTTAAACAAAAATCGAAACTTATAAAAATGAGTGTTTGATAATGCCTAAATATACATTAAAAATTCCAAACCTAAAAAAAATATGTAAGCAAATGTGACCGGCGATACTCTTTTTAGCAGCTAGAGTAGACCTAACTACATGTAGGCTATATTTATTGAACAGCCATATGGGCATCTAGTGGTTAAATCATGGCATTACATATGAATATTATTTTTTGCGGCCACCAAATGCCTCTAATTTGCCTCTTTGCACTAGAATAAAAAAACAACAACTAAATACTACACTAATTGTAATATAAATAATAAACATATTACAAAATGTTACATTTTAAATGGTTATTCATGGGTAATAATTATTGCACATATTATTTAGTACCAGAAATGTCCTCAAAATATGAACTAAATAGAACTGAACTAAAACATAGTACAATTATTTAATTGATTAAATTTTACACTTAAGGTGCTTGGTCACATTTGACTGCCAAGGAGTATGAGAGCATATTAATGCTGTCTTTATCACTCCCCAGAATAAAATGCTATTATAAAGCGTAGTCAGCGTAGTTATCAATGCACATTATGTGTTAATAATTACTAGAAAATGCAAATACCGTGAAACTGCTGTCTGTCCCGATTAAACCCATTCAAACAGATTGACAGTGCGGAGTTGTTCGGAACTATTGAGCGCATGGCGGCGAGATCAGAGCATGTCGCAACTCCTTGGTTACCGCTGTAATCAAAGCAGCGCTGCGCTTATAAACACTACTTTTATATGCATGCAGAGACAAGATGAAAAGAAAACACCATCTAACCTCTTCTGAAGACCGTGAGTTCCCCTCAAGAGACGCATTCATATAAACCCCCACCAGCAGCTCTATCGCCATTCGTTTAACATCTCAAACCATTTGAATCATCACACGAGTTTCAACCGGCTGGGGGTGAATCGTTACATCCCTAGCTTGACTTTCTGCATGTTGCTTCTTCAAAACTATTTCAGTGTACATTATTAAACACCTCCCGACACCTAATCAGTGCTGTCGAGCTGCCTGTGTAGACAGTGAGTGTTCACTAACCACAGAGCGATCAGCTGTGTGCTCAAGTATTATTAATATTATCATTTAGTCATTCACTCTCATCTGAAATGCATTTGCACAATGTTGCCTGTGTGTAAATATGGTTAAAAATAAAAGATGATTTAAATTAGGAGACCATAAATGTAATAAACTGGCTTTGATTTAACCATCAGATATGATTTAAATGTCAGATGGCCAGGGATTGTAAAGTGGCTGAGAAGCACATCAGGAATAGAAACAGGGTTTCCGCTAAGTGAAGGCGCAGCACGACGCAGCGGGGGCGTCCGGTGTAGAGAGCTGCTTCATTACAGTGGGAGCAATCTAGCTTTGAGAGTAGATGTAGTGTAACCGATAAAGACTTCTGTGCATTTTCTGTCTTTGGCAGGTGTGCTCTGTTGAATTTGACAGAAAAGACATCAACATGAACAAACTAGTGGCAACATCTTTAGAGGGCAAGTTTCATGTGTTTGACATGAGGACCCAGCACCCCACTAAAGGCTTCGCTTCCGTGTCTGAAAAGGTAGGCCAGACTCCGCTCAGCTTTAACAGAATGGTGTCATTAATGGAAGGGAATAGTATTTAAATGTTCGTTTTTTTATTTATTTATGTGCAGAATGATCATTTCATTTGCCTTCATGCAGTTACAATAATCGGGCACTGAAGATTTCAAGCTTCAAAAAATGATGGAAAAGCAGCATAAAAGTATGATATAAGATTTGTGCACTTCTTCTGAAGCCATGTGATAACCATAAGGTTTCAAACCAATATATGATGACAGATATTTGAAACTTATAAGGAGGAATTGTCACTGAATAATGACTTAAATTTCTGTCTGTTCATCACACAAAGGCTTCAGAAGACTTGCATTGTAGCGCGTGAGTCACGAGGGACACTTTTATGATACCTATATAGTGCTTTTGCATACTAAATCTTTGTTTTGCACATTTACTGTCAAAAACGTTAGGGGCCGTTCACACAGAACGTGTCTTTGTGACTAAAACGCGACACACGGCGCTCAGGAGAGGTGATGTAATAACAGAAATATTTCTCTCCAGGCTCGTTTTTTAAGAAACCGGTTGTGATAATTGCTTGAAGAAATGTTACATAATTAAGGGTATCTGGACACAGCCGATATGAGTGCCTTCTCCGCCATGTTGCCATCAAATAAAACAGTTGCCATGCCAAATGCTCGCAACACTCGCCCCGCCTCCGCGGTCTTCTGATTGGTCCATTGTTTTGGAGCTGACATTGATGAGAGGCGCTGCTTGTAAAAGTTGAGATTCTTTTAACTTGACACGGCGTCTTAACAACACGGCGCTCATGTGCGAGATTCTGCAAAAGATGCAGCGGTCATATGCGTACTTATAAAACGGATAGTTCCGGCCCTTGATTCTGATCCGCGTTCGAAGCTGTTGTAAATTACTCCACAAACACACACCTTTGTTTACTTCTGTGTGTTGCTCGGCAAGCACTTTGTTGGAACCACAACTGTTTCTGAGGAACTACATTGTTTGGTGGAAGAATACTGTTTTTATTCATATCATTACACTTTATTTGCTCTGTTTTATTTTGTGAAACCTTACTACGTATACGGAACAACCGCTTTATAAAAGCAATAAACCCTGTGAAGCCGTGGTTTACAGTGAATTTATAACCGCTAAGGGGATTAACAACGCCGCTTAGCTGTTATAAATTCACTGTAAACCACAGCTTCTTGGGGTTTATTACTTTAATCTAGTGCGCGTTTACATAGAAAAACAATGGAAATGTAGCACATTGGAATGGAACGTCTTCTTTGTGAACGGCCCCTTACTCTTAAGACTCTTTTGAAAGTGTTTAGCATTTGCTTTCTGGATTTCAGGCTCACAAGTCTACAATATGGCAAGTGAGGCATTTGCCTCAAAACCGCGACATCTTCATGACAGCCGGTGGAGCCGGTAATCTGCATTTATGGAAATAGTAAGTGATTTCTTTGAGATAATATCTTTAACATCTGAAGATTATTATTCGTACCGTGCCATTTTTTGATGTATTTTTCTATCGTCACAGTGAGTATCCAGCCCAGAGGACTAAAAAGGGTGCGGATGATGTAGACATGGGCGTCGCTGGCTCTGTGAACCTCCTGCAGAACGTCACTCTGTCCACACAACCCATTTCCAGTCTCGACTGGAGCCCAGACAAACAGGGCCTCTGTGTTTGCTCTTCATTTGACCAGTCTGTACGAGTCCTCATTGTGACCAAACTCAACACCGTCTGACTTAACTTGAGTTCACTTCTCTACTGTTATTCCCAAACAAACTGGAAAATCTGAGTACTGTTTACATGCCACGTGTATATCTTAAGTTTATATGTGCAGTTATATTTGAGGTTTTTTTTAAAAGAAAACAATTAATTCTGTTAGCCTGTGTTTTTATGCACAATGTGAAGGCCTGTAACACCATGGTAAAGTTATTTTAAGACAAAAAGAATCAAATCAAAAATGCACATTTTGTCTTTGCAGTCTTTTATCAAGTTGTAATAATTGAAATGGTGTTTTTCAGGCTGAAGCCACACATTCTCTTGTCTTTCTGTAATGCCCACTTCTCATAATCCAATCAATTCCCTGTTGTCCCACCTTACTTTTTTTTTTCTTGATGAATGTCTGACTAAAAATATATGCCAGACAATGCCAGAATGGGTTTTGACCAAACCATTTGTTTAATGTTCAAAGTGGATTTAAATAAGGCCTATGGAGGACATTCCCAAACTAAAAAGATCATACTTGAATCTGAAGAAGTCCTGCAGCTCCTCATCATCCACTGATCTGTCATGAATTCCAGCGTAAACTCTCCTCAGAAAACTGGCCAAGAACTTCTTCAAGTGCTTCAATATATTTTTCAAGACATCCTTTTAATACAAAAGCAGAATGTTTTCATTTCAGCACTAACAGTACTCGGTTTGAAGCAAAAAAAAAAAAAAGTTTTCAAACAGTTCTCTGAGAGTTAACTTTATCAAAAATTTCGGTAACACTTTATTTCGATAGTCCACTTTAGACATTCTGTTAACAGTACGTAACTTTGCAACTACATGTCAACTAGCAGTTAGTAGAGTATTAGTAGACTGTCTGCTTAATATCTTCTAACACTTTCTTTGTCAACTTATTCTACTAACCCTAAACCTACCCTAACAGTCTACTCTGAGAGTTAGTAGACATGTAGTTGCACATTAATGCGAATTAGTTGACATGTAGTTACAAAGTTACTTATAGTTAATAGAATGTCTAAAGTGGACTATCGAAATAAAGTGTAACCAAAATTTCATACATAAATGGATAAATAGCTGAAGTAAGAGCAGACCTTACCGAGTCCCATGACTTTTCCATGCACAATCAGGTTGGCCAGTACATGAGGATGCTCGTACAGTTCATGTTTCTTCAGCATATGCACAATCTCTCCTGTTATGAAGGCATCATCAAAGGTTTGTTCACAGACAGGCTTCAGCGTGAATCTACTCTAAACATTCACAGCAGCCAGAGGATCGTCCTTCAACAGCAGATTGGGCAGCTCGATGTATGCGTCATGCACCTAAAACACATGGAATAGTAGTGAAATGCAGTATTATGTGAAATCAGTGTCATTACATGCTGATCGAGTGTGCATTAAGGGACTCACCTCTGGAGCCATGTCAATGACCTCCTGGTAAAAATGACCCGCCTGTTTCTGTGAGTCAGCGGTTCGTGCCAACGCCCTGGCGAAGCCTAGCCGTGGCACTTGCCAACCTCCACTGAGAAGAATATTGATTGACATCGCATGACTTCAGATCATAGAAAATGCATTTACGTTGAGCCAAGAGTCTGGGCAAACCTGCTGAAGTTGTTGGTTTCTCCTGAAGAGGGCTGTGCCGCTGCCCAGATTTACAAGGAGACATTTGAGCTTTAATGCTTGATTTGCCTGCTGTCTTTCCAGCTCCATCACTCTTGGTGACCAAATGCCCTCCTGTCCGCCCTCTAACGAGAGAAATATCAAAGTAGCAATCATTTGTGAATAAGAGAACCACTAGTTGTAAAGATACAGGAGACTGTGCTGTATGTGAATGTATTCACAGCAATGGTTTCCCTGTTGTTCTTAAGAACAACGAAGAGTAAATGGAAATCAATCTTTGGTCTTCTCTGTATTCAGAGATAGTTTGGGGCTGGTGCAGTGAGACGTGATGTGTTGTGGCGTGTGTTTGGCTGCTGTGGCTGTCCTGTTGACGCGTGTAGGAGCCGAGGTCTTCGCTGTGGATGTAAGGACGCCTGTGGCTGGAGCTCCTCTGCCTCTCGCCAGCTTCTTCCCGTCTGCAGGAGCCTCAGGTGACTCGACCGCTGGTTTGGGCTCAGGAGCTTCATGCTTGACCGTTTTGTCCTTTTCTGCATCTAAATGATCCTTCCACCATGTCTGCTCTAATTTAAATGCAAAGCATTCTCAGATTTAAAGAGAAAGAATGTCTAAAGAGTTATTTATGAAGTAAATTCTCTCACTAAGAAGATAATATCTGACATGTGATTGTGTAAACATCTTGCAGTACCTCATTTGCCATGAATTCCAGTGTAAACTGTCCTCGGAAGACTGGTCATGAACTTCCCTTCAAGCTTATATTTACTTAAGATTGTATTTAATGTTGAGTTATCAACAAGTGGCTTAGAAACAGCTGCACCTAGACCTGCAAGACCAACATCATCACTTCAGATTAGATAACATGTCCCTTGAACCCAGGGCCATCCTTAGCTGATGCGGGGCCTGGTGCGAGTTAGGGACCTGGGGGGGGTTGTGTCGCCGTGGGGCCCCCTCAAGTGCGGGGCACCACCAGCACTCCCATCTGACAGACCTACACACAGTCGTGCAGACTGCACCATGTCATATTTATATATATATATATAGTCAAATTATAACATAAGACTGTCTATTTTGCTTAAATCATAGCTTTGATTTGAACACTTATAGGTTTTTTTTTTACAAAAGATTTAGGTTTTTTGGTGTCTCTTGAAATTCAAGGGTTTGATGGTCTCAGCAGCCAATAATTTACCACAACAAAGCAAAACTGTTGTCGGTTTAAAAGTTCAAGCTGCATTTCCAAAATACGGTTCTGCGTGGTATGATTACAAGCTGTTCCCGATCTGGATGTTTGGCACAGTAAGCTAATTGTGCTGGAGAAACTCCAGTAGTGATGTGATGATGATTGTGTAGTATACTGGCTACAGTATTATCTACAATACAGTCTCCTATATTTTCTATATTTCGCTAGCTCAGTGGTTCTCAACCTTGTTCCTGTTGATCCTAGAACAAGATTCCTCTAAAAACATAGATCTAACCAAACACACACACACACATATATATAGCTCTTGTTCTGCCCAGGCTGGACTATTGCAACTCTCTCTTGGTAGGTCTTCCAGCCAGTTCAATCAAATGTCTGCAACTAATCCAGAATGTGGCAGCACTTAAAAATGAAAAGTCATTAAATGTTGTGTTTTCAGCTGAATTTGGGGAAACCACTTGAAACATTCAATGTGTTGAGCAATTACTGTTGTTTGATTTGTTCATTGCAAACAGTTGAAAGTCTAAATTTTTCCAGTAAACCTGATTTGCAATGGGGGTTGAATAATTTTGATTGCAACTGTATATGTAAGGGATAATGCACGGCTAGCTCGGGCTACCACCCGACGTGTAAATCCATCTGTTTACCAAGAGTGTAAAAGGTGAGTATACGAAGATGGAGTGAATGCGACTGGTAGATTTGGTGTGGTCTGTGCTAATTTGAGGTCTGTATCATGATTTCTGAAACCTATGGTTCCAATCAGTTGATATATTTAGTGATCCAGAAACATTGAGCATGGCCAGTAGTCTGATACCAGATGGTTCCTTTTAGCCATTCAGAAACATCCAGTACTGTGTAGTCTGATTCCTGAACAGATGAAGTGAATTTTGTAGTGAAGAAGACTTTTAGTGAATCGGAGACTTACAGCGTGGCCACTGCAGTCTGATTCCCAAAGCAATGACTTGACTCTGCTTCTTTTTAGCAAATGAAAAGTACTTACGAGTCATAGCGGTTACTGAATTATTCAGACTCACTAACTGGACTGCAAGTTATTACTTTTGTCATGTCTGACTCGAAGGAAACCAATAACTGTTACTGTTATGTATTCATGCTCATGAGACTCAAATCAGTTATTAACTGAGTGTTGTTTATTATTTGAGACATTATGAATGTTGTTGTAATGAGTGGTTCTATACGAGTTCTATACAAACAATTTAATGATCAAATATAATCAAATGTTTTATTTCTTATTTGAATTTAATATAGGTGATGGATTGCATTCATGCCTCTAAACATTTGTGTAAACATTTGGCAACATGCATTCATAGGCATTGATGCATGAAGTAGCATTTAATTTTTTAATATATTTCTTCACCAAAGAATCAGAAACAGAATTGTTAGATTTTATGATTCCTTAACATAAGTCTACCTTCTCCTGCAAGTCCAGAAGCTCCCTACAGGGGCCGATAGACGAGAGCCGTATCAAAGCTGTGAGAGCCTGACATCTCTTCACTATCCAGGGTTGTTTGCCATCTCTTTGCTGCTGAATGAGGCCCTGTTGGAGAGCAAAATGAGCACCCAGCAGCACCCACTCCAGCTGCTGAACCACCTCACCCTGATTCACACACCTGCTGATGCCCTGCGCCGCAAGCCCAGAGACACTGTGGGAATACCAGAGAGACTGACGCACATACAACTGTTGCCTTTATTTAGAGACATTAATTAAGGCGGTCACATGCTGGAGAGTCAAACTGAAATCCTTGATCCTGAGATTAGAGTTCAGTGTACTATGAAATCACAGTCAGTTTAAAAGAGCATGAACTCCTCATAACATGTCTTAAATCTTTTAATTAGATTTCAATGGCAGGCAGGAAACTACATACCTCGTTTACTACATCAGTGTAATGAAGGGGGGAAAAATTGGAATAGTTCACCAAAAATGAAAATTTGCTAAAAATGTATTCCATACAAATCCATCAAGATGTTTTTAACTTCACTCCCAGCTAAAATACGAGTCAATAATCTATAATAAAGTGTCCTCCAGTGGAAAAAGTCCATCTCCTGTTGTCTCTCACATCAAAATCAACTCACATATTTGTTTAGAGCTGTTTGGCTTGTAAACGGTGCTTGATCTGTGCAGATTTCTCTCCTGATTCAGACCACTTTTTCACTGGAGGAAGCGTTATTATGGATTATGGCTATTTTAACTATTTTAGCAACAGTTTGAAGTTAAGATGTCTTGATGGAATTGTTTCAGCTTTTGTCTTCTCCAGATGTTAACTGATGGACTGGAGTGCTGTGGTTTACTTGTGGATTATTGTGATGTTTTTATCAGCTGTTTGGGCTCTCATTCTGACGGCACCCATTCACTGCAGAGCATCCATTGCTGAGACACTGATGCAATGCATTTCTACAAATCTGATGAAGAAACAAACTCATCTACATTTTGGATGGCCTGAGGATGAGCAGATGTTCATTTTTGGATGACCAATTCCTCAACTGTTGCAAAGATCTTTTAAAGTGTTTGCCTGTGTAACATACATGTGGTAGACTTGCTCTGGACTCATGGCCTGGTCAGAGGACTAGTTCTTGGAAAGCAAAGCCGGCAAACTGAGACAACCACGTAGAAACGGAGCATTCACGACAGACCAATCGTATCCAGGCTCTCATCTGCAAAACAAAAAACTGGATTAAAATCGTCTAAGTGACTAAATGTGAATGTGAATTATCTTTTTACATACACTTTCTGATCATGTGAGACAAAGAACTGAGCCATGACATATTCTAGGCCTTGTTGTAGGAACAACGTGACCTCATGCTCACTGGCCGCGGTCGCCTCGTTCTGCTGCAGCAGGGCCAAGCCAGTACAAAACCTACCATAAAAAAACATGTTTGTGAAGAACTGACAACAACCTGACCTGAAGTCATCCAGACCCAAATCAGACTAATATAAAACACTTTGAATACTAGACTTTGAATATTCCAATTCCCAGTGTTATATTCATCAAAGAGCACTTCGAATGTAAAGGAAAATACAATGATGCATTATAAACCCATAATGCACTGTAACAAACTCAAAGGGGTCCTATTATGCTTTTTCACTTTTTAAATTTTAGTCAGTGTGTAGTGTGTGTGTTTGGGCATAAAAAAGATCTAGAAAGTTACAAATCTCAAAGTCCACTCCAAAGGGAGATACTTAGTTTTTGAAAAATCCCTTTTCAAGAACTACAATGAACGGCTTGTTTGGACTACAGCGTTGGTTTCTGGGCTTTGTGATATCACAAAGCGGCTCATTAGAATATCATTACAAATAATTCCTACAGAGATTGGAATGGTTGGGGGGAGGGGAGGGGCGAGGTTAAGTGAGTGCATCATACGAGACGACGAAGAAGAAGTGCTGCTGCAGAGTTAGTGCATCAGAGAAAAACAAGAAGAAGAGCTGCTGTGCTGTAGTGTCAAATTTTCAGCATGTCTAGAATAATTCTTACAAGTATAACATGACGTAGCTGGGCGCCGCCGGTGTGTCCTTGTTACACATATTACATATACTTACTATTATAATAACAATTAATTATGCATAATTACATGCAAGTAACCCTAAGCCAAACCATAACCTTATAGTAAGTATGTGTAGTTAATTAATATTACTCAGTACTTAAATGTATAATTACACTGTAACAAGGACACCTTAAAATAAAGTGTAACCCCTCTTTCTATTTTGAGATCGTTCTGAGGTTAAATAGATTTAAAATCATAAAAAATAGTTTAATAGCTATGATCCTGTTTTTGAAATACCATTCAAGACGTATTTTAATAGGAATAGGACACATGCTTATTCAATAACTGTTTCATTTTCTATTTGGATTTGAAATCAAATCAAGATTTGATTTCAAAAATGGTTGAAAACATTCCTTAGAAATGTAGAAAAGTAGTCAAATGTAATCCGTTGCATTACTTTAATCAAATATTTAAAATACTTAAATACTACTTACTACATTTTAAACAGAGTAACTTGTAAATAATCCAGCACTAGTAATCTGCTTGACATTCTGATATACGCTGGTTGTCACCTGTCACGAAATATAAAAAGAATAAGAAGGAAATGCCAATCAACATTAAGTTCTTTTGTATGCCTTTTTATGCTTGCAACCCTTAAGTGTGATTCATTGGCCAAAAAAGACAGCATAAGCACCTTTCCAGCTTTTTTTGCTAGCCAGAGGAACAATGTCTGGACATGATCAGCCTTCTCTGACTGGCCCTGCTGTCTGAGATCTTGTAACTCCATGTCAAGCGCTTCGAGCTGGTTCTCTGCTGTCGGTGTTCCAGGAAAGCCATGAAGCCTGCAGATGGCCAAGATCTCTTCCTGCCTCCCGGCAGACTTGGCCTGGCCAATATCCTGGTCATCTTCCTGAGCCTGTGGGATTAAAACAGTCAGCTCCTACATTAGAACATATGGCTCTTTCGTATGAGAATGATATAATATATACACACTGTTGAGTAAAATCTGGTCTAGTGATTTAACACTTCTGTCATCTAGGGGTTTGAGGTGTTCAGACAGTAGCAGACGCACACATATTCTGAAAATGTGTTTCACTTGTACGGAGAAAAAATACTATGGAAGTCAATGGCTAGCAGCAACTGTTTGGCTACCAACATTCTTCAGAATATCTTCTCTTGTGTTCAGCGGAAGAAAGAAACTCCTACAGGTTTGGAACAACTTGAGGGCGAGTAAACAATGACAGAGTTTTCATTTTTGGGTGAACTATCCCTTTAAGGTGCTAGTTTGACATTGACTATCTCAATTCCCTACCTCCTTTTTCAGGCCATACGTCTCTGTTGCGTAGTAGTGCTCCTCTAGTCTTCAAGACATCCTTTTAATACAAAAGCAGAATGTTTTCATTTCAGCACTAACAGTACTCGGTTTGAAGCAAAAAAAAAAAAAAGTTTTCAAACAGTTCTCTGAGAGTTAACTTTATCAAAAATTTCGGTAACACTTTATTTCGATAGTCCACTTTAGACATTCTGTTAACAGTACGTAACTTTGCAACTACATGTCAACTAGCAGTTAGTAGAGTATTAGTAGACTGTCTGCTTAATATCTTCTAACACTTTCTTTGTCAACTTATTCTACTAACCCTAAACCTACCCTAACAGTCTACTCTGAGAGTTAGTAGACATGTAGTTGCACATTAATGCGAATTAGTTGACATGTAGTTACAAAGTTACTTATAGTTAATAGAATGTCTAAAGTGGACTATCGAAATAAAGTGTAACCAAAATTTCATACATAAATGGATAAATAGCTGAAGTAAGAGCAGACCTTACCGAGTCCCATGACTTTTCCATGCACAATCAGGTTGGCCAGTACATGAGGATGCTCGTACAGTTCATGTTTCTTCAGCATATGCACAATCTCTCCTGTTATGAAGGCATCATCAAAGGTTTGTTCACAGACAGGCTTCAGCGTGAATCTACTCTAAACATTCACAGCAGCCAGAGGATCGTCCTTCAACAGCAGATTGGGCAGCTCGATGTATGCGTCATGCACCTAAAACACATGGAATAGTAGTGAAATGCAGTATTATGTGAAATCAGTGTCATTACATGCTGATCGAGTGTGCATTAAGGGACTCACCTCTGGAGCCATGTCAATGACCTCCTGGTAAAAATGACCCGCCTGTTTCTGTGAGTCAGCGGTTCGTGCCAACGCCCTGGCGAAGCCTAGCCGTGGCACTTGCCAACCTCCACTGAGAAGAATATTGATTGACATCGCATGACTTCAGATCATAGAAAATGCATTTACGTTGAGCCAAGAGTCTGGGCAAACCTGCTGAAGTTGTTGGTTTCTCCTGAAGAGGGCTGTGCCGCTGCCCAGATTTACAAGGAGACATTTGAGCTTTAATGCTTGATTTGCCTGCTGTCTTTCCAGCTCCATCACTCTTGGTGACCAAATGCCCTCCTGTCCGCCCTCTAACGAGAGAAATATCAAAGTAGCAATCATTTGTGAATAAGAGAACCACTAGTTGTAAAGATACAGGAGACTGTGCTGTATGTGAATGTATTCACAGCAATGGTTTCCCTGTTGTTCTTAAGAACAACGAAGAGTAAATGGAAATCAATCTTTGGTCTTCTCTGTATTCAGAGATAGTTTGGGGCTGGTGCAGTGAGACGTGATGTGTTGTGGCGTGTGTTTGGCTGCTGTGGCTGTCCTGTTGACGCGTGTAGGAGCCGAGGTCTTCGCTGTGGATGTAAGGACGCCTGTGGCTGGAGCTCCTCTGCCTCTCGCCAGCTTCTTCCCGTCTGCAGGAGCCTCAGGTGACTCGACCGCTGGTTTGGGCTCAGGAGCTTCATGCTTGACCGTTTTGTCCTTTTCTGCATCTAAATGATCCTTCCACCATGTCTGCTCTAATTTAAATGCAAAGCATTCTCAGATTTAAAGAGAAAGAATGTCTAAAGAGTTATTTATGAAGTAAATTCTCTCACTAAGAAGATAATATCTGACATGTGATTGTGTAAACATCTTGCAGTACCTCATTTGCCATGAATTCCAGTGTAAACTGTCCTCGGAAGACTGGTCATGAACTTCCCTTCAAGCTTATATTTACTTAAGATTGTATTTAATGTTGAGTTATCAACAAGTGGCTTAGAAACAGCTGCACCTAGACCTGCAAGACCAACATCATCACTTCAGATTAGATAACATGTCCCTTGAACCCAGGGCCATCCTTAGCTGATGCGGGGCCTGGTGCGAGTTAGGGACCTGGGGGGGGTTGTGTCGCCGTGGGGCCCCCTCAAGTGCGGGGCACCACCAGCACTCCCATCTGACAGACCTACACACAGTCGTGCAGACTGCACCATGTCATATTTATATATATATATATAAGAGCCGTATCAAAGCTGTGAGAGCCTGACATCTCTTCACTATCCAGGGTTGTTTGCCATCTCTTTGCTGCTGAATGAGGCCTTGTTGGAGAGCAAAATGAGCACCCAGCAGCACCCACTCCAGCTGCTGAACCACCTCACCCTGATTCACACACCTGCTGATGCCCTGCGCCGCAAGCCCAGAGACACTGTGGGAATACCAGAGAGACTGACGCACATACAACTGTTGCCTTTATTTAGAGACATTAATTAAGGCGGTCACATGCTGGAGAGTCAAACTGAAATCCTTGATCCTGAGATTAGAGTTCAGTGTACTATGAAATCACAGTCAGTTTAAAAGAGCATGAACTCCTCATAACATGTCTTAAATCTTTTAATTAGATTTCAAGGGCAGGCAGGAAACTACATACCTCGTTTACTACATCAGTGTAATGAAGGGGGGAAAAATTGGAATAGTTCACCAAAAATGAAAATTTGCTAAAAATGTATTCCATACAAATCCATCAAGATGTTTTTAACTTCACTCCCAGCTAAAATACGAGTCAATAATCTATAATAAAGTGTCCTCCAGTGGAAAAAGTCCATCTCCTGTTGTCTCTCACATCAAAATCAACTCACATATTTGTTTAGAGCTGTTTGGCTTGTAAACGGTGCTTGATCTGTGCAGATTTCTCTCCTGATTCAGACCACTTTTTCACTGGAGGAAGCGTTATTATGGATTATGGCTATTTTAACTATTTTAGCAACAGTTTGAAGTTAAGATGTCTTGATGGAATTGTTTCAGCTTTTGTCTTCTCCAGATGTTAACTGATGGACTGGAGTGCTGTGGTTTACTTGTGGATTATTGTGATGTTTTTATCAGCTGTTTGGGCTCTCATTCTGACGGCACCCATTCACTGCAGAGCATCCATTGCTGAGACACTGATGCAATGCATTTCTACAAATCTGATGAAGAAACAAACTCATCTACATTTTGGATGGCCTGAGGATGAGCAGATGTTCATTTTTGGATGACCAATTCCTCAACTGTTGCAAAGATCTTTTAAAGTGTTTGCCTGTGTAACATACATGTGGTAGACTTGCTCTGGACTCATGGCCTGGTCAGAGGACTAGTTCTTGGAAAGCAAAGCCGGCAAACTGAGACAACCACGTAGAAACGGAGCATTCACGACAGACCAATCGTATCCAGGCTCTCATCTGCAAAACAAAAAACTGGATTAAAATCGTCTAAGTGACTAAATGTGAATGTGAATTATCTTTTTACATACACTTTCTGATCATGTGAGACAAAGAACTGAGCCATGACATATTCTAGGCCTTGTTGTAGGAACAACGTGACCTCATGCTCACTGGCCGCGGTCGCCTCGTTCTGCTGCAGCAGGGCCAAGCCAGTACAAAACCTACCATAAAAAAACATGTTTGTGAAGAACTGACAACAACCTGACCTGAAGTCATCCAGACCCAAATCAGACTAATATAAAACACTTTGAATACTAGACTTTGAATATTCCAATTCCCAGTGTTATATTCATCAAAGAGCACTTCGAATGTAAAGGAAAATACAATGATGCATTATAAACCCATAATGCACTGTAACAAACTCAAAGGGGTCCTATTATGCTTTTTCACTTTTTAAATTTTAGTCAGTGTGTAGTGTGTGTGTTTGGGCATAAAAAAGATCTAGAAAGTTACAAATCTCAAAGTCCACTCCAAAGGGAGATACTTAGTTTTTGAAAAATCCCTTTTCAAGAACTACAATGAACGGCTTGTTTGGACTACAGCGTTGGTTTCTGGGCTTTGTGATATCACAAAGCGGCTCATTAGAATATCATTACAAATAATTCCTACAGAGATTGGAATGGTTGGGGGGAGGGGAGGGGCGAGGTTAAGTGAGTGCATCATACGAGACGACGAAGAAGAAGTGCTGCTGCAGAGTTAGTGCATCAGAGAAAAACAAGAAGAAGAGCTGCTGTGCTGTAGTGTCAAATTTTCAGCATGTCTAGAATAATTCTTACAAGTATAACATGACGTAGCTGGGCGCCGCCGGTGTGTCCTTGTTACACATATTACATATACTTACTATTATAATAACAATTAATTATGCATAATTACATGCAAGTAACCCTAAGCCAAACCATAACCTTATAGTAAGTATGTGTAGTTAATTAATATTACTCAGTACTTAAATGATCACAAAGCGGCTCATTAGAATATCATTACAAATAATTCCTACAGAGATTGGAATGGTTGGGGGGAGGGGAGGGGCGAGGTTAAGTGAGTGCATCATACGAGACGACGAAGAAGAAGTGCTGCTGCAGAGTTAGTGCATCAGAGAAAAACAAGAAGAAGAGCTGCTGTGCTGTAGTGTCAAATTTTCAGCATGTCTAGAATAATTCTTACAAGTATAACATGACGTAGCTGGGCGCCGCCGGTGTGTCCTTGTTACACATATTACATATACTTACTATTATAATAACAATTAATTATGCATAATTACATGCAAGTAACCCTAAGCCAAACCATAACCTTATAGTAAGTATGTGTAGTTAATTAATATTACTCAGTACTTAAATGTATAATTACACTGTAACAAGGACACCTTAAAATAAAGTGTAACCCCTCTTTCTATTTTGAGATCGTTCTGAGGTTAAATAGATTTAAAATCATAAAAAATAGTTTAATAGCTATGATCCTGTTTTTGAAATACCATTCAAGACGTATTTTAATAGGAATAGGACACATGCTTATTCAATAACTGTTTCATTTTCTATTTGGATTTGAAATCAAATCAAGATTTGATTTCAAAAATGGTTGAAAACATTCCTTAGAAATGTAGAAAAGTAGTCAAATGTAATCCGTTGCATTACTTTAATCAAATATTTAAAATACTTAAATACTACTTACTACATTTTAAACAGAGTAACTTGTAAATAATCCAGCACTAGTAATCTGCTTGACATTCTGATATACGCTGGTTGTCACCTGTCACGAAATATAAAAAGAATAAGAAGGAAATGCCAATCAACATTAAGTTCTTTTGTATGCCTTTTTATGCTTGCAACCCTTAAGTGTGATTCATTGGCCAAAAAAGACAGCATAAGCACCTTTCCAGCTTTTTTTGCTAGCCAGAGGAACAATGTCTGGACATGATCAGCCTTCTCTGACTGGCCCTGCTGTCTGAGATCTTGTAACTCCATGTCAAGCGCTTCGAGCTGGTTCTCTGCTGTCGGTGTTCCAGGAAAGCCATGAAGCCTGCAGATGGCCAAGATCTCTTCCTGCCTCCCGGCAGACTTGGCCTGGCCAATATCCTGGTCATCTTCCTGAGCCTGTGGGATTAAAACAGTCAGCTCCTACATTAGAACATATGGCTCTTTCGTATGAGAATGATATAATATATACACACTGTTGAGTAAAATCTGGTCTAGTGATTTAACACTTCTGTCATCTAGGGGTTTGAGGTGTTCAGACAGTAGCAGACGCACACATATTCTGAAAATGTGTTTCACTTGTACGGAGAAAAAATACTATGGAAGTCAATGGCTAGCAGCAACTGTTTGGTTACCAACATTCTTCAGAATATCTTCTCTTGTGTTCAGCGGAAGAAAGAAACTCCTACAGGTTTGGAACAACTTGAGGGCGAGTAAACAATGACAGAGTTTTCATTTTTGGGTGAACTATCCCTTTAAGGTGCTAGTTTGACATTGACTATCTCAATTTCCTACCTCCTTTTTCAGGCCATTCGTCTCTGTTGCGTAGTAGTGCTCCTCTAGTCTGCCCAAG